ATTGATTATATGCTTGGATGCTGGCATGTTCCTTATTTATTATCATGTTGTTTGGTTTGCGACTCTGTTGGGCTTTGTTGCCTTATTTAGTGAGCATGGGGGTTGTCCATGCCACATTGATTGGCTATGATTTATTTTAGTATTGAGTTGTATAATTGTATCAGGATTATGGTCCGGGCTACGTGTTGTAGTTCCGTGACTTAGATACTCACATTTATTTATATTATGAGGTTATTCAGTGCAGATAGATGTTTATTTTCAATTACATACAGGCAATGTTTTATGAAAAAAGATTAAGTAATCAACTTAGTTAATGTCGATGACGTCATAATTGAAAAAAAAAAGTTAATTCCGCATTTTAATTAAGCGTAGCTTAATACGATGATATGATAACAAACCGGGTATACACAGGGTGTTACACATATCATCTACATAAACCAAAAGGCATGTGAAAACATCACCATCTACTTTGGTAAATAGAGAATGATCAGCACTTGATTGAGTGAAACCAAGGTTGCGAAGTTCCAAGGTCAGCTTTGCATTCCATTTCCTGCTGGCTTGTTTTAGTCCATATAAGGACTTCTGCAACTTGCAAACAGGTTCTTTTTGGTTGATATAATGCCTTCAGGAATTTTCATATAGACCTCCTCCGACAAATCCCCATGAAGGAAAGCATTATTGATATCAATTTGCTCAAGAAACCACTAGCAACAGCAACCGAAAGTAATAATCTGACTGTGGTGAGTTTGGCCACTGGAGAAAAGGTCTCAAAATAATTTACCCCTTCCATTTGGTTGTAGCCCTTGGCAACCAAACAAGCTTTATGCTTAGCAACAGTGCCATCAGGGTTATGCTTGACCTTGTATACCCACTTACAGCCAATTGGATGCTTGTCCTTGGGAAGATCAATAATAGAACAGGTCTGGTTGCGGTTGAGAGCATCAAACTCTTCATTCATTGCCAAAATCCATTCCTTGAATTTGACAGCTTGGTTGTAATTTCGTGGTTCAACAAAGGAACTCAGATTGTGACAAAAAGAGGTATAGGAAGAGGAACACTTGTTATATGAAACAATAGAAGATAAAGGATGAGGTGAGGATAAGTGTTTACCTGGAGAAGATTTATTTTCAGCTGAAACTGTGGAGAGATTGCGTTGGAAATCAGTTAAATGCCTTGGCTGCATCCTCACTCTAGTTGATCTTCGAAGAACAGTGGGTTGGTCTGGTATGAAGTCAACATTATAGTCAGATTGTAATGGAGCAGGTTGGACCTCAATTAAGGGTGAAGTGACAGATGGATTGGGTTGAGGATTAGGTAGTGGTAAGTCATATATGGTAGGTATTGAGGTGAGTAGGACTGTAGGTGCAGTTTCAGATCTTGAATAGTCACACTTTTGATCATCAAGAAAAGGAAAATTCCTCTCATAGAATATAACATGCCTTGAAATAAAAATTTCTTTTGACTCTAGGTCATACAAGACATAACCCTTGGTCCCATTTTTGTGACCCAAATACACACATTTTCGGGCTCTAGCATCAAATTTTATACGATGTGCTTGGAGAGTGGAAGCAAAAGAAAGACATCCAAAGGCCTTAAGATGGATTAAAACAGGTGGTTCCTTGAATAATAGCTTATATGGGGACTTGTCATGTAAGACTGGAGAGTTAAGTCTGTTAATAATATGGATAGCATGTTGAATGCAGTAGCGCCACAAATTTTTTGGGATATTTCCTTGGAAAAGTAATGCCCTTGCTATGTTTAATATATGTTGATGCTTTCTCTCCACAACACCATTTTTTGTGGAGATTCAACACAAGAAGTTTGATGCAAAATCCCTTTTTGAGCAAAGAAATCTGACATCAAAAACTTAGGACCATTGTCACTACGAAATGTCTTAATGGTTACACCAAATTGATTTTTTATTAGTGTGACAAAATCTCGGATGTGGGTTCTAGTTTCAGATTTTAACTTCATCATGATACCCCATGTGAACCGTGTGTGATCATCAACAATGGTCAAAAGATATTTATGGCCATGAATTGAGGAAATGGAATAAGGACCCCAAATGTCAATATGAACTAAATCAAAGGCTTTATCACTAACAGTAGAACTTGAAGGAAAGGGCAATTTCTTTTGTTTAGCATAATGGCATATATCACAAGGATTATCAACATTCTTACAAGAGATGAATGGAAACTGAGTCATCATTGACTTTATTACAGAGGAAGAGCAATGGCCTAATCTTAAATGCCACTAATCAATAAGACAAGGTTTAACAGATACTGTATTGGTGAGTTTTCTATCTTGTAAAGATGTTGTCTTCAAATTATGAACTTGAGTAAGGATGTACAACCCTCCAACTAGCTCAGCTGAACCAATCATCTCCATTGAAGGGTGTTGCTGAATGGTGCAAGTAAGTGGCTGAAAAGTGAGACAACAGTTAGTGTCTTTGGCTAGCTTGGTAACTGATATCAGGTTAACATTGAAATTCTCAACATAAAGAACATCTGACAAAGTCAGTTTTTGGGAAAGTATGACAGTTCCTGAGTAATAAGAATAAACCTAGTTCCCATTTGGCAAGGATATAGCTACAGGCTCAATCTTTTTAGGAAGAATCAAATTTGCAAAGGAGTGAGTAATGTGGTCAGTGGCTCCTGTGTCCAGGATCCACTGAACCATATTATTACCTGAAGATGAGCCTGAGTTGTGTTCATTAATTGCCTTGACCTTGGCTTCAACATTGAGTGCCTTGGTTTGCACTAGGTTGCTAGCATGAGAAGGTGTCTGTGGTTGATGCTGTACAGATTGGTACTGCATGGATTGATGTATCATCTCCATAATAGCATTATATTGATCCTTAGTAAAAAAAGATTATTTTCTTGAAGAGGACCAACATTACTAACATCAGCATATGAATGCATTTCTTCAAGAGGACCAGTGGTAATCGAGTTTGCCTTATGTGCACCTTTAACTCTGTATCCAAGTGGATACCCATGCTTCTCAAAGCATGTGTCCACAGTATGATTCGTCTTTTCACAGTGAGTACACAAACGAGGAGAGAAGGATCTGCCATGGCCACTATTATAACCACGTCCTCTGCCTCTAATATTAGAACGTCCCCTTCCTTATTGTTGTTCTATAGAACTAAAAAACACCTTTGAAGTTCTATCTGCAGAACCAGGCACAACATTCTCCAAGTGCATCTATCTCTCTTGCTGAGTAATCAAGGAGAAGACACGATTTATTGAAGGTAGGGGATCCATTAACATAATTTGGGATCTTACATGAGAAAATTGCTCATTAAGTCCCTTGAGAAATCGGATGGAATAATCTCTGTCTCTGATACTTTTTACTTGAGAAGAGATTGAACAACAAGGCCTAACACACTTACAAGTAGGTGTTGGCTGCAAGGATTCTAACTCATCCCATAGAATTTTGTGTTGAGTGTAGAAATTTGAAACTGAATTTTCTCCTTGATGCAGACGAAAAATTTCATCATGCAAATCAGAAATCCTGAAAATGTCAAACAGAGAAAACCTCTCTTTGAGGTCCTTCCATACATCTACAGCACGATCCATCCATAGAATCGACTGTGAAATAGAGTTAGTAATGGATCGATGCAACCATGAAAGAACCATGGTATTGCATCTCTCCCAGGCAGCATACCTTCGATCTATCAGATCTGGCACTGAGATGGAGTCATTGACGAACTGAAGCTTATTCTTGGAGATCAAAGCCATCGTCATTGCTCTGGCCCATCCATGCTAGTTCCTTCCATTCATGAGCGTAGATACTAACACAAGGGATGGATATCTCTTTTGCGTGGAGGTAGTAAACACTGCTTGGATCTGAAAAATTTTCTGATGCATGCACCACATCTACATTCACAGCTGCATGCGTAGCATTTGAACCATTTTCTTCATTACTTTGGGGAGAGCTCTAATCCGCCATGGTTGCTTCTCTGTGGCTATCAGAAAAAGAACCAAAGGTCTCAAGGTAGAATCACTGGGACAAGAAGGAGAAGATAGCGCGAAGGAAAATGGCGAATATCAGAGCTCTTGGAGCTGTGATACCATAACAGAATAAGAGAATACTAATGATCTCATTGCACAATGAAAAGAAAACGAAAGTCTGATTACAGAAAGAAAACACATCAACTTATATATGAGCTGCATTACAAAGAGTAACCCAAAAACTAATCAAGCTATTACTAACTAAACTTGACAGCTAAGCTAACAGCAGTTAACTAAGTAACAAACTTACAACTAACTAAGTAACCGTGAGATTAATTACAAAGGTAATAATTTGATTCAGATCTATTTAAATAAATAGATATAACAATAATAATTGCCTAACATTTTGATTCGTAAATGGGGTAAAATGTTAGTTAAGGCCTAGCTCCACTTTAGGCCCAGCTTTTGCTGTTTTTATACAATCCTTGTATATCGTTACTTTTAACCATTTTACCTTTTTTAAAATCAAAGATATTTAATAAAAGGAGTAAAAAGTTGATTTTACCCCAAGTTAAGACCTTTCTTCTTCCTCTACGAGCCATTTCTGCTTCCTCTGCCAGCCTGACGCTGCAATTTACCTGCAATTCAGCTGCAAAAACAACTGCAATCGCCATTCCACTAACCACCGCCATAACGTTGGCATTTAGAGCAACAGAGGTCTAATCGTGTCCGACACTTCCCGACACTCTTCGACACTCCAACACGCGTTGTAAAAACTCAAAATGATTCGAAGGTGACATTGCGTTGCATTTTTAGTTCCAACTATTAAATTTGTTGGATTAAGATTACCATTTTATTGAATTTAATATAAATATTTGAGATATCTTATGTTTCTTTGCAAAATTAATGGATATTATATTTTTTTGTTAAATTATTGAATATTAAATATAATATATACTACATAAATTATTTAATATCAAAACGTGTCCTAACATATCAAAATCTAACATTTTTTAGAATTAACGTGTTGAAATGTTGTGGTGTCATATCACATGTCACATGTCGGTATCGATACTACATAGATCCTCAGTATAATTATAAATACAAGGTAGCGGAGACCGGAATCTTCAAAAGTAGGATGGATGCTCCTCACATTCTTCAACACAATGCAAAGTGGAAACAAAATTTAAGCTAAATATACAAAAATTACAATTTTGACCTAATATCATTGCTCTTTTTTTTTAAGGACCCCACTATGTTGATGAGTTCCCAGCCTAAGTATTACAAAATTGACAAGTTTTCTATAATGTATGAGATAACAAACAGATACTACAAAGACTCTGGACTAGTGGATGGTCTGATTCTTGCCGGCATTCCAATACATTGTTTCAACTGTGTCCCAGACCCATATTTCCATGATTTGCTGGGAGTTATAGACATTTTGTTCAAGTCAGGGTCGAAATCAAGACCTTCTACGCTTACTATCATATCATCATCAATCATATCCTTTGCATTCCTGTCAACAAAATCATCATCCGATACATCACTGCCACTATCACTGACTTCATCATTGTCATCACAATCATATGTAGTTCTGATCTTCGACCAGCGGGCAAAATGTGGCCTTATGTAGCTGTAGACAGTCAAGATAGACAATGGAGTGGAGAACAAAAGTTAGATCAGCACACAATTCAAGGGAAAATGTTCTGTCGAATATAAAAATTTTCAGTGATATCTCTTCATATCCAGAAGCCTAAGGTTACAAACCTTTCGCTTTTCTTCAATAAACATGGATCAAATGGGAAGAACGTGTCAAGTCTATCCATCCCACCAAAAGCCATGGAAAGATCAGACTCGAGCAAATCATCGAAAACAAATGACTCTGATGCCATGAAAAGATGAGCAGCCTTAGCCTGTCTAAGAAATTCCCCTACTACAGTAGGCAAACACACCTGTTGGAAAGTCAGAAGGACATGAGTACTGTCTAATCATTTTATCAACAAAAACCTACAATTAAACATGTTGTGTACTCCAAAAACCATGAAAGCTTTCTAAAAAGTTCCTTACATTCAAGGCATTCAATTTATGTTTCAAGATTGGTTCTATGGGCATATTCAGAAGCTGTAATTTGAGCCTTGGAACGTCCATCAATGATCTCATGCGAAAACACAGAACATACATAATGGCCTGCTCACCAAAACAAACATAATGAACAAAAAAAAATAAAAATTCCAAAAATAAAAATAAAAATATAGCAGCTTCAACATGAAACATAGCTATAGCAGTTGATGGCAATAGCGGAGATGTTTCCACCAGGTTAAAGACATTTAGAAGGCAGCAAAACCAATTGACTATATTCATGACATAGTCAATGAAAAATCAGCCAATATAAATATTGACGTGGGAGAAGAGACATCAGAGTCAAAAGCCCACACTAAACTACATGTTAAATTAACAGGAAGTTCGCAAGTGGTTGCATTCCCTTGACTGAGTTATAAAGACATCATATTTGCAGTTCCCCTTCCCCACCACCTTATATCCTTAAAAAGGTAAAAAGATGTCAATGCACTTGCCTGGCACCCAGAATAAAAAACTTTATGTGCTCGTGGATTCATATCAAAATCATGCAACTTACAATAGTCAAAACACCAATCCACCAATCTGAAACCACAACAAAATATAATCAGATCAATTTATTTACTTTATTACAAAACAGAAAAATCAATTTGGTCATGATGGACAGAGGAAAATCAATATGTTTCCAAACCTTTGTATGATGCTAGCAACAAGTGCAGTTGAAAGAAACTTTGCACGGGACAAATAACTACCAAGATAAGCAACAGCACTCATCCTGGAACAAATGAAGACAATTACAAACGTCATAAGTTACATTTGAAAATATACATCATCACATGCACCCCATTACAGCTTCCACAAGTTTCGTTAACAGAAAAAAGCATTTCAAGATAATGTGGTGCAGAGCCCATTTTACAAAGCAATTAAATTGCAGCTGGTAAGACCCCCATTTTGAGAGAGCAGACACATCAAGCCGTATAACAGGATAATTGAAACTTAATAGTTGTTATCAGTCTAGTAGCTGCTGCATTAAGCAAGGACAAATGGTTGATTATGGCTACTGTAATCATTGATTATCAAGTTAAAGAGTTTATCAAATGAAAGCATGTACTAAGAGAGTAAAATTAATACTGCCAAATTTCACAGCAGCATACATAACTCCCATTTCACCTGTAGAATTCATCATTTGGTCTTGACAACGAGGTGAATTTTAATTTTAAACACAACAATGCAAATCAAAATTACCTAGTAATAGGGGGATCAACATCACAAACAAACATCTCCACAAGAGCCATGGCAAACTTCACACCGCACCCTTCGGGATCCAGTGCACAGGCATAGAACATCACAAACTGCAACGAAATAAAGACAGTGGCAATACATTTCACAGAAATAGTACCAACAAGAAACATAACACAAGCGAGCAAGAAACAGTAAAAACTGAGGAAAGAACAGTACCTGGCTAAACTTTGACTTGTACGCATTCAATACAGTTCTCTTAAATGATGTTAGTAGAACATTGAAGACCTAATCAAAGAATTTAATTAACACAATTAACTATATCCCAAAGTCATCTCATGCAATGATCAAATATATCCAATATGTTGCGTGTATTTGCCCATGCACAACAGTGTGTGGTTATATATATATATAGGAATACCTCGGCCAAACGGCCACTGCTTTGACAGGATTCAAGATGCAAAAAAGTCAGCTCCATTAGGCTATCTAATTTCTCAACAACCATGTTGCCTTGTAAATTTTTCCTATTTAAAAGCTCTGCAGGAGGCTGAAAAATGAAGAACAGAAACCATGAGATGACATACCAGTCACGGAAAATTCAAGTAGACAACTCAAAATATAGAAAACACCCTTTCACTAGAAAAATATTGATCAGTACTAAGGATCATGTTTTATCCTTCTAAAAAGAAGTAAAGCTCAAGATTTTACTGTTGATGAGAAAATCAAAGAACTGGCTCTCTAAATCTTTAGTATGTTATACGGCTTTTTATTTCAATTTAAATCTGTTGATTGATGGAGAAAACCACAGTTATTCTTTTTTTGGTGTCCATTCTTCCTTCTGTGCTTACCAGTTTTATTTGCTTTTGCCATTCTACTTCTAACATGACTTGTGGACACTTTCAGTCAATCTACACAGTTGTCATGCAAATGCTACAACCATGACACAGACACTTTCAGCCACTATTTGTTTCTGCCACACCAACATGCAAATGCAAGCATGACACATGACACTTTCAGCCATTACATTTGTTTTTGCCCTTCAAACTAATAATTCACTGAACTATCACTTGAAATGTTTTGTATTCATTATGAAGTAGTGAAATTATATGGTAAACTATTGCAAAATAGTAAAATATTTTAGAATTTCTTTTCTACCATCTTTTTTCAGTGAAGCAGGCACTTCAAAATTAACGAGTAAAACTCAAGAATTTACTGTTGATGAGAAATCAAAGAACTGGCTCTCCAAAATCTGTAGTATGTTATACAACTTACTTTTTTTTTTTATATACAATCCAGGGCAAAGCCCCAATGTTATACAACTTTTTATTTCAATTTAATTTTGTCTACTGATCGAGAAAACCGGTCATTCTTTTTTTGGGGTCCATTCTTCCTTCTTTGCTTACCAGTTTTATTTGCTTTTGCCATACTACTTCTAACATGACTTGTGGACACTTTCAGTCACTCTACACAGTTATGCAAATGCTACAATCATGACACAGACACTTTCAGCCCCTATTTGTTTCTGCCACACCAACATGCAAATGCAAGCACATTACATTTGTTTTTGCCCTTCAAACTAATAATTCACTAAACTATCACTTAAAATACGTTTTGTATTCATAAATTTATTTATTTATTTTATATTTTTGAATACTCAAATGTACATAAAAATAGAATACAAATATAATTATTTATAATATTTCATTTATGTTACGAATACTTATATTAATAATAATATTACAATTTCCACTATGTTATTATACCATCTATACCATCTATTAATTTCTAAGAAATACATAATTCTTTTATGAATTAAATGAATTATAGATATGAATTAATAATCATATTCATAAATGAGTAATACTAAAAAATAAATAAGACCCCTGGAATATCCTTTTTTGATTTGAAGTGAAATTATATGGTAAACTATTGCAAAATAGTTCAATATTTTAGAATTTCTTTTTTAATATCTACTCCTTTTTTCAGTGAAGCAGGCACTTCAAATTTAACGAGTAAAGCTCAAGATTTTCCTGTTGATGAGAAATCAAAAAACTGGCTCTCCCAAAACTGTAGTATGTTATACAACTTTTTTTTTTGGATACAGTTATACAACATTTTATTTCAATTTAATTCTGCTGATTAGTTCTATTTGCTTTTGCCATACTACTTCTAAAATAACTTGTGGACACTTTAAGTCATTCTACACAGTTGTCATGCAAATTATACAATCATGACACAGACAGTTTCAGCCACTATTTGTTTCTGCCACACCAACATGCAAATGCAAGAATGACACGACACTTTCAGCCATTACATTTGATTTTGCCCTTCAGACTAATAATTCACTGAACTATCACTTAAAATATGTTTTGTATTTGTTAGAATATTAGATATGATATGATTAGATATAATTAGATATGATTAGATATGATTAGATATGATTGGATTCCGTCTTATCCGTAAATATTCTGACTGTATTCTGACTGTATTAGGATTAGGTTTGGGCCTTTCACTTAAGCCAATTAGGGTCTCTATATATTGTAACTCTCTGACACAGATCAATACACAACATATTATTTTATATTCAAGTTGGTATCAGAGCTCTTTCGTTCTGGGAACCCTCGCTTCCGCTTAGAAACCTTGTTTTTTGCTTTAAAACCTAAGCCCACTGCTTAGGAGTCCTCTTTCTTGCCGTGCGTCCTTCCGGCAAGCCTTCTAGGGCTGTAAACAGCCTCTGAGTGATTTTTCCAAACGCGTCAGCACCTCCGACGGCCACCGGAACCACCGTCCGCCGTCAGAATCACTGTTCAGGCAACCGGAGACTTTTTCCGGCAACTTTTCCGACCAAACTTCACGCGATCAGGACCCTCTCTTCCCGGCGACCAGGTCTGTGGTGGTCCGGTCAGCAACGCATCTCCCACGCGCCAACTGTCTTCTCTGCGCGTGGGCTTCACGCGCCACCTTCTGCCAGCGCGTGAGCACTATTCCGGCGGCTTTTTCCGGCCGGTCTTGGACAGAGAAGCTCGCCTTCTCCTCTCCTTTCTGGATCTATGATTGTTTCTCTGTGGGTCTGACCTTAGACGCGTGGTTCTTCTTGATTGGATATCGTTTGCCTTCGTTTACGGCTTTTATATTTTATCTTTAAATGGCAGCAGCATCTCCTGATCTCTCGGAGGTTAACTCTCCTTCTATTGTTGCAAATATAGCTCAGTCAGACAATGCATCATTTGGTTCAGGTTCGGACTATGCTGCACTCCAAACCCCTCTCAGGAAGGCTTCTCCTCAGTCTCAGCCTTATACTGGTAATCCCGTTGCTTTTGTTTCTCATTCTACATCACTTGGCACTTGGATATTTGACTCCGGTGCTACCGATCATCTCTGTGGTAATAAGGAACTCTTTACATCTCTTACTTATTCTGATCATTTACCGTCTTTTACCCTTGCGGATGGAACCAAAGCCCCAGTTCGTGGGATTGGACAAGCTCGTCCGACCTCTACCTTGGCCCTGACATCTGTCTATTACATTCCTGGCATCCCTTATAACTTAATTTCTATTAGTAAGTTGATCCACTCCCTCACTTGCCCATTACTTTCTCTAACCATTCTGTTTCTGTGCAGGATCCGGGTACGGGGAAAATGATTGGAGTAGGTCGTGAGTCACGGGGGCTTTATTATCTGGATGTGCCTCGTCCTTCAGTAGCATGCTCTCTCACAGAATCTCCACAACTTATCCACAGTCGCCTTGGTCATCCAAGTCTTTCAAAGTTGCAGAAAATGGTTCCTCTTTTGTCCGGTCTTCAGTCTTTAGATTGTGTGTCATGTCAACAAGGGAAGCATGCACGCTCCTCTTTTGCCAGTCGAGTCAATAAACGAGTTGATGCCCCTTTCTCTCTTGTTCATTCAGATATCTGGGGTCCAAGTCGTACCTTGTCTGTCTTAGGTTTTCGGTATTTCGTTACCTTTATTGATGATTTTTCCCGTTGCACTTGGACCTATTTAATGAAAAATCGTTCCGAGTTATTTTGATAGGGCAAATGACTGCTTCCACAGCCTTGTAAACATATGTACAGGCTCTGACTAAATTACACTACCAGTACACCAACCTATAATTAACTAATACTTATTTTTCAACTAAACTCAGATCAGCAAACATCCCCTCCCCTTTTGTCCTCCCTCTCCTAAGAAAATACTGACAGATGCAATGCTCACTTCCTGCTTAGCATATGACATACAAGCAGTTAATTACCTGGATTCAACGTGTGAAGTTTCGCCACTTCACAAAGCTGCTCAACCTTAACCATGGCCTGATCAAGCCGAGCCAGAGTACCACTCAGCTCGGCATATTAGCCTGAAACAGGCAAAGACCAGAATAAGGCCCTCTGAATTTTGATAGGGCAAATGGCTGCTTCCACAGCCTTGTAAACATATGTACAGGCTCTGACTAAATTACACTACCAGTACACCAACCTATAATTAACTAATACTTATTTTTCAACTAAACTCAGATCAGCAAACATCCCCTCCCCTTTTGTCCTCCCTCTCCTAAGAAAATACTGACAGATGCAGCAAAGGAGAAAAGAAAAGGAGGGTGGTCATTTCACAGATCAACAAAGTGTAAATCGAACTAATCAAACTGTAACAGGTCAATTAGAATAGAAAATTCACAGGCAGATTAATGTTCTTTTTCGTGCTATGGCATGTAAGTAAAGCTTATAAGTATAAAAGCATAGGGCTTGAGGAATTATTAAACTTCACACAGCAAAGTTGCAACAGACAGAATCATCCACAGCTTCACAACCCATCCACTGCCAGCTTCTCTAGCAAGCACATTTTGCAAATGCAGGCATTGGCAAACCAGAATGATGCCTGTTCCATTTCCCTTCCAAAATAATGGATTCGCAATAGCCGAGAGATATCAATTAAGTATAGGCAGTCAAGTTTCTACAACTAATAGAAGTTGATATTGCAACAGCAAATTATGCTGACATCAGGAATTGGTGATTAGTAGTGTTTTATGCAAGTTAATAACAAAATAGGGATTGGCTAACTTCATTTTGTTTATCCAATCCCATACTCTCAAGTCTCAACCATCCCAATCCGTACCATCTCCCATCCTTGGGAAATTGCTACTCATCCTCAAATGGAGATTTGAAGATTATGGAATTTCAAGGCCACTATAATGACCACACTTCAGCTTTAACATTTATCATTTCATGAAACAATGTATTAGAAGCGAAACATAGATTAAAATGATATCACTTCAGAACACACAGAAAATGCATAAATGACAATACACCACACAAGCCCTGTCAAGCCGAGTTATCAATAGAGCAAAACAAAAAATTAAATTTAGTTTATTTTTTGAGCTGTCCAAGCAGGCTTAGCTCGGATGGACTTAAACTGAATCTCAATGCAATGGAGCACCTTCTTGATCTTCAACACATCATTTTATTATAAGACTACAACATGAACTTTAAATAAATTATATCGACCATACCTTGTCATCATATTTCTCATCCCCATCTGCAAATTCAGCAACGTCATCTAACTCCATTTCAAATATGCCCTTGGCATCTTCCTGCAAGATGCCATCCCATCCAATTTGCACCTACAACCAGGTCAAATAGAATTAATTTAATGGACAAAAAATGCACCAAATTTGCTTTGATGGAAAAAATTAAGGGAGGCTTAACCAACTTACATCCAACTCTATCAACCTATCAACAAGTGCAGGCAGCATCGTACCACTGACAATTTCACCAATTGCACCACCCTCCAGCCGTAACATATTCTCCACATACATGACAATCACCTACAAGCAACAAAAAAGCAAGTTAACCTTCATGAAAAGGATTACAGCTAAAAAATAGTTTCTCTGTGTTAATGTAAAGAACCAATTCAACCCAAAAACTTAAGCTGCTAAGTGATATTATATATTTCTAACACGCCCCCTCACAGAAGAGCCCACTGGGCTTGAAGGGTGGACAATGCATAGTCTCATCCTACCAGTGCTAAGAAAGTCCACAATAATTAATTATTTTTATTAAGAGAATGGAGGTGGTGAGGATTGAACTCGTGACCATTTGGTCACGAATGCTCTGATACCATGTAAAGAACCAATTCAACCCAAAAGCTTAAACCGTTAGGTGAGGTTATATTAATGATTTTATATATCTCTAGTAGTTAAGTTGACAAAGCTAGACAAAAACAAAAAACTAAAAAGCAGAAGCTATCTCCATATCAATATATTACTAAGTTTCATCATAGCATTTTGAAATCAAAATGCATACTACAAAAGTAAAAAAATGACCAACATACGTTGCCCAAGGAAATGTAGTCTTAACAGATCCTGCAAAATGAATGCTGCAAAAGTAAATAATGCACCTACATTCAATTTCTAATGAAGATATCCATACAACCATAAAAAGGGAAAATCTGGACAGTTCGCATGCTGAATTTAAAAATCGGCGAGCAAAGAAGGTACATGACAGCTAACATCAAGATAATTGAAATGTCATGACACGTCATCACATTAAACACAACAAATTCATAAATCGTAGTAGTATCTAGCAGAAACAGTTGCTTGAACTCTAACTGCAAGTACAGATTGAACGTACAGGTTCTTTACTGAAGACACTCGGCATTCGCTGGACAACTATTGGAGATAGTCGCAAGGGGGCAAGGGGCACTAAATCAGCTAAGTCTTTCAAAGCAGCATGCACCCGGGATAGAACTTTATTCTTCCTGTCAATTCCATTCTCCTGTTTATTAGGTGGCACAAAATTTTCCACAAGAATCTCCAAACACCAATCGATATATTTTCCATTGGAAGCGGCCTGCAGAAAAATACATACGGTTCAAACTTTATAAAAATTTACAAACGACTCTATAATTACAAGATTCAAGGGTGATATAAAAAAAATAATGTACCAAAGATATGATGAGTTCAAGCAGTGCATCCATAACATCAGTTCCATAATCCCACAAGCTCATACTTGAAACCTGGACGAACAATTTTACCAGGATCATTGACATCCATAAATTACCTTGCATGGAGGAATAAATTGAAAGTCCCAAACACAGCATGAAGAGCCAACGTAAAAGAAACTTACTGCGGAAAGAAGAGATTCATGATGAACAGAATCTATATAGGACACTGCTCCAGAAAGAGCCTTCAGAGTTGTCTGGAAACATAAAATAAAACAGAATAAAGTGTGGTCAGTACGCTTGAGCCCAAAATACACAAAATTTCATGTTGTTATGAACTTGAACTCAAGAACCTACCACCAACAAAGCAACCTCATCAAGATTAAGGTTCTTCTTAAGGTTCTTCTTAAGGAACAAATAACCAACAAGCTCATCATAATTTTCTCTATCACCCTGAGCCACAAGAATCAAACCTTTATTTTCTTTAACAAATGAGAGATAAAAATGCTAGCAAGCATGGTGAGCATGAAAATGAACAAAAGTTGTGGCAGTGTCTATAATGGTTTACCAACGTGACTGCAGCAAGAGCATCTCTGACATAATAAATTAACTGCGAATCACTGAAATCAGCATTTTCCATTTCTGGAAATTCTTCCTTGTCACTTACCAGCACCCTTCCCATGCTCTCTTAAAAACCCAAAGAGCAGCCCTTACACACCTACACACACACACAAAGAAAAAAACACGAAGCAAAATTAACAACACTTATTAAGTATAAGTGAAATACCAATTAAGCTAATATTGACAAACGTTACAATCCAGCAAAACACGAACACAAGTTAATCGGATAACATTTACAGAGTAATGAAGTAACTAAAAAATATAAATAAACAAAAAAAAAATTAAACCTAAAAGAGTATCAAGTTTACATGTGACGGGAGAAAGAATATCAAGCTTCACAAACATATAACCATAACCCACTGATGCCATTGAAAAACAGAATGCAAAGGCAATTGTAACAATCACATAGCAAATCATTGTTTGGCAAGAAATTATATCAACATTCAACCCACATACTCGTCACCATACATCCCCGCAAATCAATCAATTCAGCAAACCAATAAAGTAGATTTCATTCATCCAAACCAGTCCAATTCAAGCTATTCAAGCAATTAGAGTACAGACGCGCAAATTTTATTCAATTCAAGCAATTAAATTATCGTACTCCAGTGATCAGCGACCAAGTGGGATAAGTCTATTGCTCAACACAAACAATGACACTAAAAGACATAAAAAAAAATTACGACGAATTAAGCATGAAAATATTGTTAAACAAAAGAGAGAGCGAAAGACATGATACTCTGGCTCGAGATCTTCTTACTCGTGTTTTCAGTCTCTCACTATCCGTGCCTCCTTCTCTCTCTCTCTCTATGAACGAAGTTTTACTCTCTGAATGTTTCTCTCTCTCTCTCTGCAGCGCCTAAACTAAGAATGGAAAAGAATGAAGCACGTAATGGCGGTGAGATTGGTGAAAAGCTGTTACTGGGGATAGCCTTGGCTATCGCCGCCTCTTCTTTAAGGAAATGACGACTAAGGAGAAGAGTGAACGATAACCAGGGTTTTGACCTTTAACCAATTGCCAAACTCATAATTTATATACATATCAAACTTTTTTTATTTTTTTTAATTTCAAATCGATGTGAACGATTGTTTGTTAAAGCCCAATTCAACCTGTGAATGGGAAGCCCACTATTTAAGTCCATAAAATTTTGGTCTCGGTTTAAGTGCGTGTTAATATGACTGAAATTTTCCCAATAGATATGCCTGGTTGTTCTGGTTCTATAATTTGCATCGTTAAGCTATATTGGCTGAGCTTGGGCCCAATTGTCTTTTGTGTCTGTATTCTAAAACTGTTTTTAAAAAATAAATAATTAATTAATTAATTATAAGGTTTGATGTTTATCCTTTTAAATAACATAGAATTATGTCATTTTAGGAGAGAAAAAGACACAAGCAATAAAAATTATGGAAAGAAAGTGGATGATTTTTTTTAATTTAAATTTTAAATAAAAAATATTAATGTGTATTTTTCTATATTTTAAAATAGCATAACTCTATATTCTTTAAAAGGATAAATATTTTTTCAAAAATTAAAAAAAAGGTACATTAGGCGTGTGGATGATCCCCTAATGGTGACAATGTTAGAGTTATTAGTTTTGTGGTCATACTTGTCGAGACTCGAGATACCCTTAATCAAAAATGTTATTAGGAATAACATTTTTTTCTTAATAAGAATATTTTATTTTATTTTTGGTAAATCTTAATAAGAATATTTTATGTACAGTGAACATGCCCTTTATTTATTTATTCATTTAGATCATTTTCGTCACGTAAAGTTCCAAAAAATTCCGTTATTGGCTGATGCTATGTTATAATATGACTCATCAAAGCATAAATTGAGCCCAAAATTAAATGGATTTCCTTCCACATGCTGGATTGGGCCCAGCAAATAATCGATCACATTGAAACCAAATAAACCAAACATTTGAGGTTTGAGGGAACTAACCATAACCCTAATAAATAACTATTGATTATAAACTCCTAATGAAGGATTATTGGTGGTAATGGATGCTTTGACTGTCCAAAGACCAATGTGATGTAAAATAAAAGGACATTGGCAATGATGGAAGTAGTGAAATAAAGTATATTTTTTGGAAAAATATTTATTTTTTTAAAGAATAAAATATTGTGCCATTTTTAATAAAATGGTAATGTTTTACTTATTATTTAAATAAAAATATTTTCGTCAATAGTTTTACTTTTCCCTCTTCCTCGTGATGATCCTTTATTGTGTGACAAGTTTCTCCCACCATAAAATACACTTGTTTTATTTAAAATAACATAATATTTTATCATTTAAAAGACAAATTCTTCTAGGCTTTAGCCCTCGTTATGTAACAAAAAAAAATTAAATTTTAACATAATGGGATATTATGATTACTTTTTTCAATACATATTCTATTTATTCAATCAAGATATCAAGAGGAGAGAAAAAAAAAGAGCAACTGTGAAAAATAGACAATTGTGGACCATGATAGAAAGAAGTAGGTGTTTATCGAAAGAAAAAAAAGTAGGTAGAGTAGACATAAAAAAAATTGGCATAACTTCCTTTTTTGGATGTAAACATCCCTTTTTCTAATGTAAAAAAGTGAAGTTTTCATCATCTAAGTCAAAAAATGTGAAAATTATAAATTAACATTCTCTGTGTTCAGTACATGTAAATTGAAATGAATCATTCATCAAAGAAAACTATAAAGTGTCAAACAAAGAGAACATATCAGAGAGTGTGTTGGTCCTAAATGAACTCAGGAAGGGGTGTGTTCTGTCTGAAAGACAGAGATGTCCAACTGGTGGCTGGTATATTTTATGTAGGATCTAGGTGCCCTCTCTCAAGTATCTATGAATGAGATACCCTTGAGGGTAGGCTGATCACTGTGCACAATAATAATCGATATGATCAAGGCGTGGGGTGTGTGCACAGTGACAAGCTAAGAAAGAAGGTTTAGAGAGAGAGAGTGTGTGTACCTTATTGGTTTAACCCTGTATTTATAGATGGGTTACCTGAAGGAGTGTAATTCTGGGCCTCTTAGGAATATTGGGGGCCCAAGTCCAACTGCTTAGCTGTCTGGATAGGATTGTCATCAATAGGAGATTCCCTTCCTTTTGTGTTGTCCTTTATTGGTCCTTCTAGAATACGGGCCTTTGTCAGGTCCATAACAGTTGCCCCCCAGCCCGGTAGTTTGGTTGTACAAGCTGCCGGGATGTAATAGCAATGATCTCTTCATTTTATTTCGCAAGTCTGTTTTCTTTGTCAAAAGTTAGATGTGTTGCTTTCATAGCAATAATTTTGATTTCTTCGAAAGAATTTGAGAATCTAAGGGTATCCCTCTATCTTCTAAGATTATTTATCTCGGCTAGAACCCACGTTCTTGTTATTTTTGCAAGACGGGTTCAAATACCTCGGTTTGATGCCTCGGCTAGAACTCACGTTCTTGCTATTTTTGCAAGACGGGTTCAAATACCTCGACGTTTTGGCCGGGCTAGAACTCGCGATTCTGCCCTTGGGCAAGACGGTTTCAAATACCTCGACGTTTTGGGCCGGGCTAGAACTCACAATCTTGCTCGTTTTGGCAAGACGGGTTCAAATACCTCGACGTTTTGGCCGGGCTAGAACTCGCCATCCTGCCCTTGGGCAAGAAGGGTTCAAATACCTCGACTTGTTTTTCAAGGCTAGAACTCTCAATCCCGCCCTGTGGGCAAGACGGGTTCAAATACCCCGAACAATCTACGGGGCTAGAACGCTCAATCTCACCCTTTGGGCAAGACGGGTTCAAATGCCCCTGCATTGTTGCGAGGCTAGAACTCTCAATCTCGCCCTGTGGGCGAGACGGGTTCAAATACCTCATGTTTGTTTCCGTGGCTAGAACACTCAATCCTACCCTTTGGGTAGGACGGGTTCAAATCCAACAGATTTCCTTACGGGGCTAGAACACTCTATCCTGCCCTTTGGGCTGGACAGGTTCAAATACCTCGTGTCTGTTTCCGCGGCTAGAACACTCAATCCTGCCCTTTGGGCTGGACAGGTTCAAATACCTCGTGTCTGTTTCCGCGGCTAGAACACTCAATCCTGCCCTTTGGGCTGGACAGGTTCAAATACCTCGTGTCTGTTTCCGCGGCTAGAACACTCAATCCTACCCTTTGGGTAGGACGGGTTCATTTCCGCCGGATTGCCTTACGGGGCTAGAACACTCAATCCTACCCTTTGGGTAAGACGGGTTCAATTCCGCCGGATTGCCTTACGGGGCTAGAACACTATATCCTTCCCTTTGGGCTGGACGGGTTCAAATACCCCGGATTCTCTTGCGAGGCTAGAACTCTCGACCCTGCCGTCTTGGCGGGACGGGTTCAGACTCCCCGAATTTGCTTTATTTTGGGTCTTTATGCCAGATTGGGGTGTGACCCTTTCTCTAGGATCCCATCTCTCCAAACTCGTCTTCATTTTTTCGCAGATTGGGGTGATTCTCTTTCTAAGACCACATTTCTCCAAACCTGTCTTCATTCTTTATAAATAAACCATTTATATTCCGGTGGGCCGGTCTTCATTTTGACTCTCTCTTCACAACCTACAAAAGTGAAATGTAAACATTTGATTTCAAGTTTAGGCCGGCAGTATTCGCCTTTTTTCTCGAGCCCGGCTTCTCTTGCATCGGCTCTTCTTTCAGCTTGGCTTCTTTTGCCCAAGTTTTGTATTCATCTAAATGGATTTCCTTACTTGAGTGTATCCAGATTTCTTTCCTTTTTTAAAGGGGATCTCTACACCACCTGTTTAATTATTCCTTACATCACAGCATGAAGAAGATAATTAGCAATAATTTTGGTTCAATCAGCAATCCATGATAATTCAATCAACAAATTATATTTGACCATATGCTATATGATCTGATTGAGCACCCATCCTAAAGCTCCATGCTCCCTCGTTTTCTTGATCTTTATTTATACTCCGTGAACATAGGGAACGTGGCCTCATGGTGAAACCTGATGCTCCTTTTTTTCATGATAATATTTAAATTATCTGCCGGTCTGCTTTTGCCGACATATAAGACTAAACACATGCATAACAATGTTGATCAACTTTCAAAATTATACATTTGCATGTCAATGCCTATGGAATGAGCCATTAAATGCATCATGGCGCAAGGCAATCAGCATTCCAAAAAAGAACTGATAGTGAGATATAGGAGATAACGGATTATGTGGAGACTATAACCTGCTTGGGAAGCCGAGCTCTTTCATCATTGAAGACGCTGGCATCGGAAATACAACTCAGATAACGAGATAATTTCCTTTATGATAATTCTATTGGTTTTGCTTTGGTTTTGCTTTAATTTTGATGAACGAGACAATCAGCAATCTATAACGAGACAATCAGCAATCAGTGCTAATTACCCGTAATCAGCAATTATTTTAATTCAATGTAATAATTGACCAACGACAATCAGTAATTAATAATAATTGATCAGCAATAATTTCATAATAAATACGATATTATTGACATTTTGATTCAATGTAATAATTAATCAGCGACAATTAGTAATTAATAATAATTGATCAGCAATAATTTCATAATAAATACGATATTATTGACATTTTGATTCAATGTAATAATTAATCAGCGACAATCAGTAATTAATAATAATTAACCAACAATAATTTCATAATAAATATGACATTATTGACATTACCGATATTATTCGACATTCTGAATTCAGACTGGTCTTTTTCTCACAGTAACTTTGAATCCACATATCCCGGCTAACAGGAATTGATATCACCGAACTCAGACTTGGCCCAATACGAACTCAAGCTTGTGCACGCAATCATGCTAGCACTAGTCGTTCTCGGCTCAAGGAAAAGATTAGCAAATTCAAAGAAACTCTCATCTTTTGCAGCAGCATTTTTGCAATATCCACCGCTGTTACTAGTATTTATAAGGCTTATGTCTTCGAGGATCTAAACGATGGAAAATGAGATTAATATTATTTGTACG